AAGCGCTTCATAACGAAGGTTATGTTTTTAGCCGCAGTCACCCGACTGCGGTTTCACCACAACAAGGGCAGCATGTTCAGCGGGAAGATCGGCGTTTGGCCCTTCGTGGAACAAGTCGTTGCCCAGCGAAATAGTCGCAATCGCCCCAAGGGAACTGTGCTGTTGGTGCCACAAGCCGTGACGGCTGAAGTGTATCGCACAATGATTTTGGACAAGGTTGTCCCTGCGATTCAAGCCAAAATGCCCCAACGAGTTCAGGGTAGTTTAATGTATTTGCAGCAAGATAATGCGACTCCACATAAGTGTGTGACAACGCAACTGCTGTTGAAGCATGGTGTGAGAAGCATCGAAGTAGAAAACCAGCCTCCAAATAGTCCAGACTTTAATGTCTTGGATTTAGGGTACTTCAATTTGATTCAAAGTCTGCAACATCAAAAGTGTACTCGGACAATCGAGGAGCTTATTAGTGCTGTTGGAAGCTCATTTGATGAGCTGCCTCATGACATTTTGTCGAAAACCTTTATTACCTTGCAAAAGGTAATGGAGTTGTCCCTCGAGAACATGGGCAGGAATGATTACAAGCTTCCTCATATGAGGAAAGATGCTACCGTCAAGGACTTATCATTGTTCAATGTCCATTGTGATCCACGTATCCACGAGCAAGCTGTCTCTCACTTGAATCCCTGGAATGAGTAGTTGCCTTAATATAATAAAATGTCATTATATTTCTGTGCGGCAGTATATAATCTGAAGGTTCAATACAAACGCTGAGATGTTTTGAGCCGCCCTCAATACTTTATTCAAGATAAAACAATAGGACTCTTTTGGTGGACCAGAGTAGTACATGCTTTCGGCCGCCCGAAATATGCTTGGAAAGGAAAAGGTGAAATCGCCAGATCGAAAACTCATCTTGGAGTGGATCAAGGCATCGTGGGATGCAATCACACCTGATATGGTTAAGAATGCATTCCGCACGTATGGGATGCAATAACGTTAGTAGTAAAACATGCAATTGAAGTCAATGTTGTTGAATTATTATGATCTATTGTACTCTTCAACATGTTCCATTAGCACTGCCTTGACAATGCCATGGCATCTATCTGAGCGATTACGCTTAGACACGCTTAATGCGACTCTGTAGTCTTCCACAACAACGGCCAGCTTGTTCGCGAACTTGGTTTTGCAGGTAAGCAGTCGTCGGGGGAGGAAACCAATGTGGCAAAACTGCTCCACTCCAACAATCTTGTACACCTTGATTGCTTCTTGGAGTTGGTCACCGTGCCCCCGCACTACCTCGCAACGAAACACAACCACGTCGTCGACTGACAAGCTATTGCCGCAGACTTCGTGCGACGTACAGCTTCGAGTTCCCTCACCATTTGCGCAGCCAACAATGTCCACGGCCTTCAAATCCATCCACTTTCAGGTGTTGAATTCTGCAGCACTACTTCTTGACTGGTTGAATAGTACCCAATCATTGATTATTGGTTACAGCTTTATGGGAACACCCAATATGCTTCGTTCACACTGGCTATTTATTTGACTTGAGTTTAACACTGATCATTCAACGTGGTTACAGTTCTTCAGGACGAAATGGTGGTTACAGATGTGCGGGAAATACGGTAGGTGAGAACCCTCTCAATCGATGATGGCATGATTAAAATGAAGCGCTTATCAGGACGAAATTGTGACTGAAAATGTGTATTGCGAAGGTTTTGGGAGCCCCCCAATGCACTTACTGTTAGAGCACCTCCAACGGTAAATTCTAACCTATTGCAAAAGCATAGGTTAAAGTCAAACTTCGTTTTTACGGTTGCTATTTTGGCATTATCCGGACTTTTTAGCAACAAAACCTCCGGATAGGGAAAGAGTTTATATTCTATATCCGTAACTTCGAATTGAAATAGAAATATAAATACCGTTTGAGATGCTTAATAATACGCCAAATATCTAGATTAGTGATCCGGATACATCCAAGAGGAAGTATCCGGAAATTTGGTACTGTTAATACATGTACTATTAATAGTACAGTACAGAGAACCGAGTAGGAACTCGCGCACAGTGGTATTTTGAAATATATGGGGAATTGTATGCGAATGCGCTAGTTGTGATTCCGAGTACGAATTATAATTTTGCAATCAGATCAATCTGATTAATTTTATTATATCCAATCATACAATTTACAATTTTTTTATAAGCATATTATTGGTTA